ATCTCTCACTCATATATTATTTTCGTTGTGCGAATTGCCATACCCACCAACGATTTTTTCGTTTTCAAGCGGTCCCTTCCGCGCTCCACTTGATCTGCCGACGCACCATCTGAGTGTCCACCACTTTCCTGTCCATACGACTCGTACCTTCTCTAACCTGGGGAATGGCAAATGCATGACATATACCAATGGAATGTGGATCTTTTTCAGCAGCACACGACTGCTGAAGGCTTGAACGCTTCTACTGGTGCATAGTTAATGTAGGCTCGTCAATCCCAGGGGTGTCACCAACGTCAGGAGAGCTACTCCCAATTTTTTTCGATCGCTAGTCAATCCATGGCTCATGTTATTCAAGCCACAGAATTCCTAAAATCAGGTTATGCTGTTGAAGTCCTCAAACACAAGTTGAAGATCAATTCCAAGATCAGTTCCAAGCGGTGACCACCATACCAGTGGCCAACTCTACTGAGATAAAGCCTCTGTTTCTATCTAGTAAATACAAAAACACTGAATGATTTTCAGCAGCACTTTGCTTCTGCGTAGTTACCCGACGCGTCAGGGTCAATCAAGACTCTACAAGGAGGACCGTGACTCTTCACAGTCGCTGTGACCACGAGAAGATCACTTTGATTCGTGTCGTTAGCGAAGGACATCGAATATTTAAGGGCTAAACACTCTTGAGTGCTTCTACCATCACACTCACAAGATTTTTTAATTGCCCCAGTAGACCGCACTCCGTCTATCGAATACCTGCGTTTCCCGAACGCCTCGTAACATTGGTACCACGTGGCTCGGAACCACTACGACAAGGACTGTATTGATACTTTTGTATCCCAAGTGGACTAAGACGGCGGATGTGATCAGATCGCTGACATCCATTGCATCGAATTTGCTGCCTACAGACAGTCACCGCGCTAAGAACCATTGGATCTGGATTTCCAGTACGTAGCATCCACTGCCTGCATCGGATTGATCGATTCATCACGTGCTTGACGTCGGCGGTAGACCTCACGCACTACAAAGATAATTACATCTTCCAGAGTCGTCGGGTTTCGGTGGAAGATTATAGTCCTTGGAGGACCATATTTGAGTCCCTCGATAAACACAGTAAACATCACTGCCTCTGGCAGTGGTTCAATTGCCATAATGGAACGGAGCTCTTGGAGCTTCAATACATGGTCATACAGAGTGCTGTTGTCTTGACAGCATGAGATTTTTTTTATCGATGTTAGAATGGCACATTCGTCAGAACGAACATCTTCTCTATGGCCCTCTTTAACTCCTGCCATGTGGTTTATTAGCCAAAGCGTTGACTCCCGATGTCATCGGCTAATGTTTCGCACGGCCATCCGAATGCGACATGGAAAAAGCGACTTGACTGCGGTCAGCACGAACTAGGACCATCGCGATGACGATGTCCATTTATCGCTTTCAAAACGCAAAATTTTTCATCTTCGTGCCCTCAAAAGCTTTTTACCTTAATTTTCACGGGACGTTCCGTGTAAACCGACGGTGTTACGACCATTTGTATTGAAGGTGCGGAGCTGGCGTCGGTATGTTTTGCGATTTAAATTCCAATAATACTTGCTCATACGCAGCAAAATTTGCAAAGCGCTGCGTTTTTGCTTCTTTATCCTCCTGGAACATGTCAAAGATTGTGTGATCTCCGAAAGAAGCTCACAGCTTCACCGCACACTTCCATCGCGAGTATGTCAGAAGCGATTTTTTTCCCTGTTGATCCGAGGGGGGCCACCGCATGTAGTGTCTACATTATCTAAGGATAAATCCATTGAAGCGGCCGGCGTTGGAATGAGTACTAGTGCTACCAAGTGTTACTGGAATGACCCGTCCGTATACACGCACTTACTGAGAAAGACTTAAAAATTAAAAGGCTTCACCGCGTGTTGTATGCTTCTGGCGAGCCATCGATCTACCTGAATGAAAAGAAAAAGCTGTAGTGACGTTTATCATAGCCAATAGGTCTTAACCCCCTCTAAACTGACAAGTGCCTCCGATTCAGAGGTAAAAAAATGAGAAATATACAACTATGCAAGATACATAATAATGTCATCCACACAGAAGTATGTGGTTCACACAATCTGTGTAATGGGACTGACTCTATGACATATTCCTGATGACCATAAAGGGGCAGACTACATATACCTTCGACGGTGATCACTGACATGGCCGCCGCCAAGACTTGTATGTAGGGTATGCATATTTTTTCTTTTTTAATATCTGTTAATTAGGTTGATTAGAGTATATGAGTAATTTACCCACTTACCGCTCCACATTAAAACTGATTTCGATATTGATCATCAAGCAGCGCTTCGAGGGACGAGCTATCCACAGGGATCGCGTGGGCTCTTCCAATCAATGTAGCACACCGATTCTTTCAAAATTCCGGCGTGCATCTATTTCGAAATCCTAAATGTGTTCGTCATTTCCGTTTTTTACGACCGTGAACGGGCTGACGTAGCGTGGTCGCAACTTAGTATCATAGATGTATGTTCAGATAGACTAATTGCATACATTAAGTCTATTGTCTCACGACATATATGATTCGTAACGGCTGGCTATGGCCTTGGTGTGTCGCGTTTAATATCCTGTTTTTCAGCCATAGCATCGCGCACCCTGCGCATGACCCTCAATCGCATCGAAATAAATCACAAGTAAGGTAGTCGGTCTGATATACGAAAGTCAAAATTGATCGACGTTCCTTCATCCACTAAGATCGATCCGATTGGTGGCGATGTTAAAGATGACAGTGGTCTCACCAAACCCTATTTGTAAAGTGGACTTAAGCTTGTAATGGCATGCCTGCAATATTATACTGAGTGGGAGCAACGCGCTTCAGCACAACGACCTCTCTTAGTGCTTCGAAAAATATTCTTCACAATGTTAATCATGCGTTTACTTTTACCATATACTTTTGGATTGTCAGCGGTTGGCATTTTTAATCTAATGCCAAGCACCTTGAGCGAGTACTGCCAAAATAATCAAGGTTCTGAACCTTCACTTGAACGTCTGACATTACCCTCGACACTTCTGTCAGTGCCATCGTTGCAAGACACACGGATATCAATTCCCTAATCAAGAATCATGATGTGTTCGCGCGTTTTCTACTGTCTTCGACACTTGCGTGTCGGATCTGGTCGCACGAATCTTTTTATACAATAAGGACCTTTAAGCATCATAAAGTCCGGAATGATGATGTCAATATTTACAACGCCGAAGGGCAACAATAATCGCAAGAAAAAGAGACAGGCCCCAAAGCTGAGAAGGATGATTTACTGTTGCGATAGTGTATTGATACTATCGGGTAAGCTTTTTTCTTCGTGGTGCCCGCTCTGCGGAAAGTGTGGCTCCAGAGTACGTGGCAAGAACAAAATTCACTTCGAAATGGAGTTACCAGGTAGTCCAAAGGGTTAAAAAGCCTCCCTACAACAGATGCTGGATAAAGCTAGGGAAATATCCCACAATCAAAATGTGCAATAAATTGGACGACGATGAAGTCATAGAAATGGTTAAATTGTACGAGAGAAAGAGCTGTGCTCTGTATCCGTCGGAGGTGAATCTGTCATTGCTGACACTCGCACAGCCTTGACTGCGAGAATGAGAAAGCTATACTTGAAGATTTTACAGATTTTTATTATCATTTGTAGAAGGATAATCACGGCGCGACGACAAGTGTTTTATCACGTCTGGTGCGTCCGAAGCGTGGAGTGAGTGCTGGAACTGACTTAGTTCCCGGAACCAACTATTGTGCCGCATGTCAATGATCCTGCCAAAGAGCAGCGTGGTGTTACTGACTTATTCTCTGCGCAAATCACGAAGAAGATTTGATAAGAGAAAATCAATCTTCTTATCGGTTCCGATCTAATCTCACTGTGTTAGAAATGCTTTTGGTAAGTAGCAAATTGAACAAATTTCTAAATTACATCACGATTATAAGCGCGCGACAATTTCTCTGAAAAATGTGCTGGCGGACACCATGGCTGGCTGCACTATGATCAAAATAGCGACATCTTTCTCACGATGAGAGCTCAAAGCGGGATGCTCTGGGAGTGTCTGATTATACCACATGGATTACATAATGCTTCAGCAATTTATTAGTGCTACAGCTGTTCAGGCCACACCATTGCTAGGCACAAACCTACCTCGACGTTGTGTTTGCCCACAGTTGCGTAGAACACGTGAAATCAGATGTGGAATAGCATATCGAATCTTTACGAGCAGTACTCAGTGTACGTGCTGTAAACGTATTCTCCTACATAGACAAGTTTTTTCGGCGCCGACACCATTCTTTGCCGAATTAAATCATTGGGATGGAGTACATGCGGGCAAATTCCACTATGATTTAGACAATTGTAAATTGGTCTGTATCATGTGATCTTAAGATTTGGCCTTGTCTGGCCAATTAATTTCACAAGTATAATTTGTGATATGCCAACATGGCACAGCCTAGAAATCAGTTTAATAAAGAAGTCAAATTGTACTGTGTGCAGCAGAAAAGGTAGCCTTTAAGAGTGTAGAAAAGTTTCATGCGTTCTGAATTACAAATTCAGCCCATTCAGTGCCGTCGGTGACGCTTCAGCCTTTTCCATAGGCTGTGCTTTTCTTTAAGCAGAT